AGTAGGAGTAGGAGTAGCAGTAGCAGTAGCAGTAGCAGTAGCAGTAGCAGTACCAGTACGTAGCAGCAGTAGTAGTAGTAGTAGTAGCAGCAGCAGCAGCAGCAGCAGCAGCAGCAGCCGTGGCCGTGGCCGTAGCCGTAGCAGTTGCAGTAGCAGCAGCAGCAGGAGCAGGAGCAGTAGCAGCAGTAGCAGCAGCAGCAGTGACAGTGGTCGTTTCAGTAGCCGTCGTAGAATTCGTAGCAGCAGCAGCAGTCTGAGTCGGAGTAAGCGTAGGAGTAGGGACAGAAGTAAGTAGGAATAGGGCTAGGAGCAGGGAGATGAGGAGTGGGAGTAGGGAGTAGGTATATGGGCAAGACTAGGAGCAGGAACAAGAGTAGGAGTAGGCGGAGGAGTAGCTGTAGGAGTAGGATGATGACGAGCAACATGCGCACAACCAAGGTCTCTGGCCATTGTTGCTTTGATTGACACTGTCTTTGGCTGGCAAATTCCCCGGCCCGCCGTGACGGTGGCGTGCCCAGGCCACAGCTAGGTCGTCGCACCCCATCAGCACAGCATCGTTTACACCCTCTACGGGTCTTGGATTTGCAGTCTTGGGGGTGTTCCGGGTTGTGGAGAATCGAAAACCTTCAACACAGACAGTTGACAGTATAGCCTATGATACTAGTAACTAGTATGGCCGCATTGCTGTCGCGGGAGCTTCGACTTCTGGCCGTTGGCTCAGCTATGGAATCGCGCAGGATGCAATCCGCCGCAAGAAGGAGATAGAAGAAGAGGCCCCCCAGCCAGACCCAAACCGGCCATTCCCCAAACCAAGCCAAAACTGCAATCTCACCTCTGCGCGGAGAATCCCAAAGCCGACAAACCTTGTAGAATAGACAGGCGGTAGCCTTTATGCTTGAGGGTCCGAGTCGTGCCATGCTGTGTAGCCGCGTCCGAACTCGCCACATCAACTAGCCAGGACAGCTGAAAAGCTGAAGCCCAAGCCCTGCAAAGCAGGGCAGAGAGGAGCGAAAGGGTTCCCTTGAGTGTGATCCCGGAGCTGCAGGCCACACAACCGCAAAACCCGAACCCTCAATAAAGCCTTCGATTCTAGCCCCTTCAACACCTTCACCCCATCTCAAGCGCAGAGTCGAAGCACGGAAAAGGTGCGGCACCGTCGGTAGTGCCCTGGGGGCTTGCGGCATTCTCCGAGGCTGAGTTTAGGGTTCGGGGTGGTGCAAGGCTTTGGGGTTTTAATTTATAGTTTCGAGTGAATGAATGGTGTGATTCCATTTTTCGGGCGTGACTATGAGGAAGATGTCTGCATGGCTATATGAGCGTCAGTGATAGTTGCAGGGTGAAGGATTAAGTTTTTGGGCAGTGTTTCGTGTCGAGAGGGATCAGTTTGCTGTGGTTTGTTCAGAGATAGTTTCGCGTTTGGGGCTATTCAGTGAGGGTACGCTTGCTTCTGGGGTTTGTGCTCCATCATACACCTCGGGCTCAGTGCAGGTCCAGAAAAAAGGGGCTCAAGGATATCGAGTCGCAGTCTCAGGGTTTAAATTAAGTCTGGGGTTCGAGCTGAGGAAGCGAGCACTCAATTCTCCGACAGTGGGAACCCCACACAACTGCTTGGTTGAATTTTTGTTCTTTGTCTTGGAATCTTGGTTGGTTTTGACATTCGTGGAGCTTGTGCGGCCCGCCGCAACAGCAATTAGCGCCGTTCAAGGTTGCTTAGCTCGTTGTGGCAGGGGTTTAGGCCTTGCGCCTCCAGGATTCTTTTGGAAGGGCTTCCAACCTTCCTTTTCAGTACTGCCTGAACTGCTTGTGCACGTCTACTCCAGGGCATTCAGAACTAGGCATTTCAGCCCCAAGACGTTCTAAAGCCTGATTCCTCGCATCTCCATCTACCAGTTGATCCCATTTTTCAAGCTTGGTTTCTGGGCCACGGAAAGCCTTGGGTTTGCTCTGTAGCGCTGTCGGGCTCATGCAGTTATATTTGCTGCAAACCCCAAACCCGAAACCGGAGTGCATAGATTGAACAGAGGTTTCATTCCCTTCCTCGACCTCCTTTCGGTGACCTTCCCACCTGCGGCTGGCATCATCTGTTGCGAGCGCTTCGCTGAGAGTGAGTAGGACTAGGAGCTCGCAGGTCAGTGCTCGCCTAGCTGGACCCTTCAATCGAAGCCGACGTTTCCGGAAACACTACATCTCCAACCCTAAACCAAACATTGAAGCCCCGTATCAAAGGACGACCCTGATAGCAGTGACCATGCATTGGGCCAAGAGCCAATAGCAAAGTTAATGAAGGACGCGAAGGTTGTGGTATGTTATCGTCATAGTCTAGGATGACAGGTTGTGAAGCTCGAGCTCCTAGGTTGGCAGCGGTTGCTTACGGAACACACTAAAACCTGCAACACCAAGCCGACTCCAGACCCCGAAATCCTGACTTTGGTATTGCTGCGTGTGAAGATCCTGGGGGCGCGCTGTCCTCAGATAGTTAGGCTTCTTTTTGGAAGCCCGTAGTTTAGAGCGAAATGGGATCTCAGGCATGGTATACCAGAGCCGAGGTCTTCGAACAATTCTGGTTTAGGTATGTTTGAGGGTCCTCGTGTCCAAGGGTCTCGGATACCCTTGTCAACTTACCGAACCTAATACAACCGAGGTACCTCGTGGTCAAGGGTTTCCGATCGCAGCTGGACGAGACGCGGGCTTCTGGGACGATGCCGGAGGCCGGGGTGGGAAGTCGAGATTCCTCGAGTCCTCGGCTCGAGTCTAAGAATACGGGTTCACGGATTCTTGGCGAGTTTAGTGGTGTTAAGCTTAAGGGTTATAGGAGGCATTGTCCGGTGTTTGGGTTCCGATTGGTTAGAGGTTTAAGTGTTAAGCGATCGGGTTGGACGGTTTCAGGATTGTACGTAAGGTTTTGGGGTTGAGGCGCAGACCTTCAGCCCTAATTAAACCTAAACCGTAGACAGGGCTAGGTTACCTCTGGCGAAGGCTCATCTCGGAGACATTGTTGAGCTTTTGGTTTTGATTGAATTGTTACACAAGCTCAAAGGATTTGTTCGGAACTTGCGGCTATCATTATCATTACAACTGGCGGTACATCTGAACGTACGTACGTACGTACGTACGTATGTATGTATGTATGTATGTATGTATGTATGTATGCACGAATGAACGCGCGCACACAGACACACACATATACGTGTATGTATGCATGTATGTGTATGTATATATATATATATGTGTGTGTGTATGCTTTTCAGACACTAGTACATACATATGCATGTATCACTCATGCTTTCGAGACATACCTTGTTTTATGCTACCAAACATCAACCTACGGCATTGTTGCCTTCGCTCCTTGTTTCCTTGAGCATGATGGCATGGCATAGTCGCGAGTGCTGCGCCCGATGTGTTGATCCGGCTGTTGCCACCGACCTTTGTGCAAAAAGGGCTCGGTTGGTGGAAGCGCTCTGTTTTACCATAACCCCAGATACCCTAGCAAAACCCTTGTGTTTGACTCGTGCAGACAGCTCCGGTGTGTGTCCCGGCCTCACTGGTGGCATGGTTGGCAGCAGCGCTTCTGGGACACTTCTTGCCATGGGGCATGCCTTACCTCTACTCCCTGTGCCTTGTCTATAACTAGTTGCACATGGAGGAAGCTGATCAGCTCAGGAGGTCTTCTATTTGTTCTATTTCTCCAAACAGCAGGAAATCCGGTCCAATCCATATCCGACATCCTCGTTGATGCTCTTTACTACGTTCCCTTGATCCTGGAGAAATGCCGTGGGCCCTAAACCCAGCGACCTCAGACATCACCTACACTCCATTGCCTGCTAGCTTAGCTGTGATCTGTGTCCTAGGACAAAGCCCAGGCTTACAGGTTCGGAGTGCGGCAAGCCGAAGAGTTTAGTTTCTGCGGTGGAGGGCATGTAGGCCTGGCCAAAGCCCTTTGCGGTCAGAGCCTTAGAAGGGAAACGATGCGAGAAGGGCTTGTCTTGTTGTCGAATGTGCGTACAATGCACTCGTACAGATGTTGCACAGGCCCATCGGCTCAAAACCACAAAGACAGCCGAAATGGGTTCGCGGTGTTTGGGAAGGCAGGTTTGGTTCGCGATATCAGGTTGTTGTTTGCAAATCCCCTGGGTCCGCCACGACGTTTTAGGTGGCGACCCGAACCGCAACAACTTGAAGCCCATATCAGAGCTAATCAGAGCAAGACCCTAGATGTGAGGTTCGGCGCAGCACTCTTCTATGGCCTGTTGAGCATCACAGGCTTGCGTCCGAGCTATGGCAGCATGAAAATTGGAAGCGCCAGAAGCTCTACGAAACTTTAAACAGGCACGAAATGAAAGGATGCTTTCTCTTGAGAGTCAGTTAGCCCCGAATTCCAAACAAAACGAGTCCTTTGTGAACGAATGTCATGAGGCATCCACTTTTTAGATGTACAGACCAAAGGTATCTCGCGCGTGTAATTCATTCCGATTTGCTTCGCAGAGCCCAGAACTTGCGCGCCGTTGGATTGTGAAGACATGTACAGCTTGTCCTGGTGCTTCCTGGGCGGCGTGTGCAGCCCCATGATTGGCGTGTCAGTGCACATTGCTTGCAACGACAAAGGCAGCAGGGACGACAGCATCAACTCGATCCCGGTGACGATGATGTCATTTTCGTGGTAACGGTGATGGTTGTGCTGAAGAGGATGCCGATTGCGACTTGAGGTTGGTCTTGATGATGGTTGTTCTTGCTGGTCAGGTATATGGTTAAGAGCATGTCGGCGGCGAATGATGTTAGTGTTGAATGCTGAGACTGGTTGTGTGCTGGTCGTTCAACATGGGCGTTATGGTCATGACATGAGGATTCTCTGGCTGCATGAAGAGTCCGATAGTATTGTTTGGCAGGAGTACACTAACATGCTGTACACGTTCTTGTTGTTTGCAGGGCGACATGCAGAAAGGGGGACGATGACTACGAGCACGAAGTTGAGGGTCACAACCACTGCCGCTGATGATGATGATGATGATGACGTCGATGATGACGTCGATGATGGTGACAAGATGAAGATCAGCCCTGACTAGCTCGTCTAAGATGCCAGGTTGCAGATGCTGATGATGCTGGTGCAGCTGCTGCTGCTCTTGCTGCTGATGTCGATGATGATTGCGAAGATAATTTTGGCACCGGTGCGGCTGCTGCTGGTGGTCATGGCGACGACGACGACGATGATGATGGCAAGTCATGATCAGACGTTGCCTCTGCAGTCAGAAGCCAGAAGATGGACCAGACACTTTATGCGGACACCCGTTCTGAAGACTCGAAGCTTGTCGGACGTGCTGCAGAGCTGGTAACGGCTCCGCTTGTCGGCAGGCACCCCCGCCTGAGCTTGCCATGTCGGGTTTGCGGGGTATAGCCTGGCCACAGTGCCAGAGAGCCCCTTAAAGCCAACCTTCTCCAGTCGAACCACAGCTACTCTGTTTGTGGGTTCAGGTGGTGTTGGGATTAGCCAGATGTGCAGCATGCCTAAAGTAACAGTAGGCCACTCCTTAAGATCTAGGTGCCACACACACATTGACAGAGGCATTGAGTCCCAGTCTGGGCGCTGGACTTGAGGAAAGCCGGTGCCAGATGAGCAAATCCTAATATACGTAGCCTGCACATGTTGGGCTTGGCTGGGCGTTTTGCGACTAGCTCACGACACAGGCGCAACTTCTCCTGGGTTGTTTTGTTTTTTGACAAATCTTCGATCTGTCGCGAACCCGAAACCCTGCATCGAAAGGCCCGGGAGCCTTGCTTGATTTGTGCGCTGCATGAGGAGAAAGTGTTTGCGTTGGGGTCCGTTTTTTGCTTAAAGCTGGATTGCCAGGGACTTCAGCTCCCGGTTTCTGCGATACTGTTGGTGTAGCCGGTGCAGAGGTAAATGCGATCACTGCTATCGCTGTTTTCATAGTGAGTGGGGCTCGGTGCTCCTCCTTGTCTCGTTGTTAGTTTCACGCATAAAGCCATCATAGCTGAGCGTAATAGCTAGTTTTTATACTTGATTTGTTTCGTGGCTCTCATATGGGTAGGTCTTGCGCAGTCTGTCCTGCTCATCAATTTGGCTACCTCAACCTGCTTGCTCCATGGAAGCCCAATGCAAGCATGTGAAACCCCACACCTTCGACTTTAGGGTTCTTAGATGGCTATTATCAGAATCATCTTCCCCAGCTTCGTCCTTCCGGGGCCTGTACTGTAGCAGTAAGATGCTATTCCCCAGGGTCCCAAAACATAGCAGCTTCCTTCCACCCCCAACTCGAGTCTAAGTCTTCTGGCCCGTGCGGTAGATTCTTCCGTTTAGCTTGGCTCCAGCACAGGACTGGAGACTGAGAGGCATGAACAAGCAGAAGAAAGGATCCTTCGGTTCCTCTTTCGCTTTGAGGCTTGGGAAGCCCAAAGCTTCAGCTCCTTGGGTTTCGATACGGGCAAAACGGAAAGACCCGTACCTAAACCGAGCATAAACCGAAGGCCATCTGACCCTAGCAAGGAGCATAAACCCAAGTCTGAGAATAGACCGAAGCCAACGCCCGAGGTTGTTGCAATTTGGAAGCTTGAGCAAGCCTCCGGGGATTACGGGTTGGGGTAAGGAGGTACAAGTTTGGAACCGGAGTTCGGGTCAGTTCTGCTCTCAGTATCAATGCAATTTGCCAACATGGAGGCCCCAAAGCTCCACATGAAGAAACCTTGAACGTCCAGCTGATCTAGGTAGCGGGTTGAGGTCTTCATCCGCGATCTTTCTCGTCGGCCCTTTGGATTTCAGTGTTTCCCAGGTGTGCTGGCAAAGGAGCTCCCCTTCTGGCGGAGGCACCTGGCACAGGCGAATGCAACGATTCGAGCCGCTTGCTCTCAACACAGGAACCCTTAAACTGAACTTGACGCTAAACCTCAAGGCGTAAACCCTAGACCTTCTATAGCGGATCCAAACAAGGTCCTCAAACAAAAACCGAGGGCTCTGTGCACAGAGCAGCTTCCGAAGTTCGAGAGTTGCGGAGTTCGGAGATCAGGATGCGCAGACAGAGTTATCGTTTCGGGAACCAGAATGGATGTATAGGTATTTTTGGCTAAAGGTTTGCTACTGTACTGTTGTGGTGGGAATACAGACGAAGTTGCAGAAGTGTTATAACGACGATGGATTTGCTGTTGCTGTTCCTGCTGGAAGTCGACCCCGCCACTGCTTCGGTTGCTGTTTGCGAACATTGACGGGGGATACCCTGGACCTGAGCCCTCGACCGACCTTGCGCATGGACTCTTCAGCCTTAGGGTGAGGAGATCAGCAGCTTGTGGTTTAGGACTAGGAGTTTGGTTTGGTGTAGGATTGTACATGTCGGGAGTTTCCGTCAGCCTAGGGCCTAGACTTTGTCAATTTAGTGCGTGTGGGCCTTGCACCAATAGTCAAGTGGTGTGTACGCACAGCGTCAGCGTGTTATGTTGGAGGGTTAGAGATGTTGCGAACGTCCTTGCAAACACTGTGGGGTTGCTCTTGGTGTTTTGCTTTTTGCTAGGGTGTCCATTTGGTTTGCTACGCACAGCTCTTGTGGGAGTCAAGTTTAGTGCGTCTGTATCTCATAGTAGACACCAGGCCCCAAGCCTGTAAATCCAACCTGAACAACCCGGGCCTTGATCCCTCAACATGGTAGCCTTGATTCAAAGTCTCCCGCTCTTCTGGCGAAATTGAACTCACATCACCTTGCCGGCAGCCGAGCAGCGAAACCGTAAACGCCAGGCCGTAACCTTGCGCAACGCAAGAGCCCTATACCATACAATCCGGATCCCTAGACTATTGTAGTAAACCTTCTAGTCAGCCTTCTAGTATCCCTTATGGTGATCCCTAATCTAATTGAAGGAGCTCGCATCGGCGGGCCGCCTGGACCTTGTACTTGCAGCCCTCTGGCTTGAAGCCCTTGCATCGGAGGTGCAGTTTCAGCCGAGGAGGGGGTTTCTATAATTCCCTTTCATGCAGCTGATGCCACCTGCACGTTGGCATCGTTCTCTGCATGCGCACGTATACTTCAACTTGGCAGGTGTTGATGATTGCATCAGTCTATCCGAGTCTATCCGTCGAATCACGGGAATTCGGTGGGTCCCTCGAGCCTCAAGGAGCCTCAGTGTCAGTGTGGTCTCGACATTCGTCTTCCCGGCACTGTCCCGTGCGCGTCCGCCTGCTAAAGCCGTGCTCCCGCCGCAGTTCCGTCCACATAATAAGTCGTGTTTGCGCCTTCAAACCCCGGTCCGCCCACCACAGCGATGCGCATGTTCCGCCGTCGTCGTACTCCCGCAACCCTTTGTCGCTCATTTGGGACTCATCGGGTGGTTTTGGGAGCCTCAAGTGTGCTCCTGGAATGGTTCTTGCTTGTGTAGGGCCTGGGCTTGGCCCGCCACGTGTTTTTCTTCACAGTTTTGCATCAATGCAGGCATAACATCGCTCGGATACAACTGTCTATGTAGGTGTCGATCCCTGCTTGTATTCCCATCACGGCCTCCTGAGTAGTGGTTCCTAGGTAGTAATCGGCATACCCCACAGCTGAAGTTACGACATGGGAAACGGTACAGACCAAATCTGCATGCTACTTTGAACCTATCTCTCGCTTAGACGTGGAATGGTCGCAAGGTGGAGCCCTCGCCACAGACATGTGCACTGTGTGTCATCCGACCCAGAAGAGGCCGACAAAACAAGTGTGTGAATGTGTGTGTATATATATATGTACATACATATGTTTATATGTGTGCCCATGCCCTGCTGAGGTGATGCGAGCTTTGAGCCTTGTCTTTGACGGGTTTTGGGTCTGTCCGAAGCATTTATTTCTCTTTGCCTGGCTGCATGAAGCAGTGGGGATTAGCCATGCAGAGTTTCGGGTAGGTTGATGTCCAGCCATATCTCTGTTCTCACCTGTCACTCTTGAGTCCGCTGTGTCTTTACAGACGTTTCTTGAGTGTGGCTGCTGCAGACCTCATGGGAAGCTCTGCGCTAGAGCAACCGGCAAATCGTAAAATACCGAGTCAACCGAAGGCTCAACGTTCCTCCGCATAGATTCCCATGCATCCGATCAAAAGCAAGGAAGAGGGACGAGTTGTTGCAGTTGGACGTTTTCCACTGTGGCATCGGGATCGCAGCTTTCGCAAAGGCCAATCTATGGCAGCATTCTGTGCATTTGTTTCGCATGATGCCGGAGCTGAGCCCCGCACCGAACAGCATCTGCTACACCTCGGTGATCTCTGCCTGTCAAAAGGGAGAGCAGTGGCAGCTTGCGATGAAGGTGCCTTGCTCTGTTTTGTTTTTTCCATGGCGTGTATCTAGGCGCCATGCCCATCTTTGGCTTAATCTGATTTTCTGTCGAAGGCAGCGGGCTGATCTACCGCAACTCCTAATCCAATCTCCGTGCCTGAAGCCCAAAGATCCTGAGCCTTCAAGAACCCCGGAGCCCTGAACGTTCAACCCGCTACTCCTGAAATTAATAAATGCAAAGGATGCTGAAATTCTAAACCCGAAGAGCGTTATATCCATCAAGCTGAAAATGCAACAAAGGAACTAAAGCCCCAAAGGGCTTCACACCTAACACCCTAGGCCTTTGCAGGTGCAGTCATGAGCCAAAAAAGATCCGCTCAGGTCTACAACGCCCAGACCTCTTCGAGCATCACACCAGATGTCATGTGCTACGTTGCTGCGATCGCTTCCTGCGAGAAGGGTGCCTTGATGCAGAGCCGGTATTACGCAGCACAACTAGGGCTTGAGGGCCAGGGTGGAGAGTTGAATGCCGTAATGTCCGGGGCCCCCCCTCCCCCGTCCCAACGTCTGTAGAGGGAGATTGGCTCTTGAGAGGGGTGTGGGGGTTAGGAGATAAGCGCTTTGGGAGGGTGTGCAGCTGATGAGTAGTAGTACAGTACTGCAGCACTGTAGCAGTACAATACAGCACGAGGATTTAGGCGTACACAGTAAGATTGACCATTAGCAGCATTAGCAGAAAGGGCCAAAGCAAACCAGCAAAATCCGCAGAGCCAAACAAACGCATTAGAGACTTCGCCCCAAAATCCACCGAGTAATGATTAAGCATCGGAAAAAACGCAATAAAGATAGTCACCTAATTAAAGACAGTGCCACATTAAATCATCTGGCATTTTGGAGCCTGCAGCGTGTGTGTTGAGGCTGCGGTGTCCATAGTACTCTTGGGCTTTACTTAGGGTTGAGGGACTCGGGAGTGTTCGAGTTCAATAACGAAGGACTAGTTGCCGTTGTGAGCCACAGCTCTGTACGCATGCTGCCTAGGCGCACATATGTGCTGTTTTCCTTGCTGGTGTCCATTCGCAATTCCAAGGTGCCCTGTGGCAGGAAGCTGTGCATATTTTTGAGCAGCAGCGGCGTGCGGGGCCTCCCAACGCCATCAGCCACAATGCCACCATCAGTGCATGTGGTAAGGCGTCCGAGTGGCAGGCAGCCGTGCTACCCGGGAGGTGAGAATGAGAAAGACCATATTTGTGGATTTTGTACAATTAAGATGAGGAGTACCTCCGCATCATGAGGATCAAAATATGTCGCTTCCCTCATTTCCTGAAACAGTCAAACTACCGTGCGTGCTGTAGAAGGTCTGACGGCCAGGTATAGGCGAGGCTATCGCATGCTACCTCTCAGGTTTGCAGAGGAGCCTTTCATAAGCCTTGAGAACCGGAAGCTCTTCCGCTACAGCCCCAAAGTCGAAGCCCGAAGCCATCCTGTGCAGATGGCGTTGCAGCTCTTCGCTGCCATGTCGACCGCATCACTGCAGAGGGATCTCGCCGCTTTGCTTTAAGGCTTTATCTAGGTTTGAGGGTTGGGGTCTGGGTATAAGGGAAAGAGGGTTTAGGGCAGCGGGTTTAAAGTTTCAGTGCTTCGGGGCTTCTTGATTAAATCTTGTAGGGCGCTTTCAAGCTGCCCGCAAAACAGCAGGGCGGGGCTGCCTTTACAACATGCACAACCTTTGCACCCGACAAGAATGAAGAACGACTGGATGTTGCAAACCCCTTGGTGTAACCACCGTAGAGGAACATGTAGGAGTGCGTGTGGTGCAGTATCTCCGATGCGGGCCGGGCGGCCTCCCATGCCATGATGTGGTTCTTTCTCGCTCGTGGTCAGTGGTGCGTGTCTCCACAATGGTTTTGTTGATGATGATGACGACGATGATCACGTGTGCCTTGTCAAGCCTACCGAGACTTTTGAAACCCTCAGCACGTACTCTTCGAAGCTGGAATGTCCTGGACATGGCAGAGGTTAGCTTCAGCGCAGCAACCACCGCTTGTCAAAATAGCTCCCAGTGGCAGCTCGCTGGGGCTCTTTTCCAGGCCACGGCTTGACAGTCGATTTATGAAAAACCAGGGTCCAGGTAAAAGGACGGATTCTGGGGTTGCGGAGCTTTGCGGAGCTTTGTTCTGGTGCTCGAGACGGTGTTTACTTTGAGATTGTTGCTTTAGTAGTGTGATTCTTATCACGAGGTTTCCTGCTTCCATTGCTGCCACTTGTCTCTGGCCACTGTTACTGTCAGCTCGTGTTCCCTACACTTGCGGCGTGGTCTGGATATTCAGAGCTTTCCTTGACGTGCTAGACCCTGCTTTTTTGCAGGGTCTCCATTTACCCACGAGAAAGTTGGCTCAGCTTCCTTGCTTGTTCAGGTTCGTGACTGAATCCAGAGAGTGGTCAGAGCAAAAACCCACAACAAACTCGCAAACGCTTCGCGTCGCCCGCTTCGGTACGGTTGGGGGGGTCGGGGCGAGACCGCAGACAAATTGTGTCGGGTTGCCTGGAGACACCCGAAATCCAGCGGAGGACATGAAACTCATGACACTTCAGGATTCTGCCCTGCTTGTAGGGCCGGTCAGTTGAAATCAGCGGTGCGTCTGGGAACCTCTGACCGCCGGGGCCGACGCTGAGCCTTCGTGACTCCAGGGTTTTGGGGCTCGGGACTGCAGACTTCGACATAATTCTATCTGTTCACACCTCCATATTGCAGCTGAAAAGATGCAAGTGAAGTGTGGAGGGCGCTGCTCGTAGGAACACGGAGCTTCTTCCAGATTCAGGTCCCCAGGTAGCCGAAGGCACGAAAGCCACAAACCTCCAAGCCATACCCCTGGAGGCTGCCACGACAGTTACTGGGAACCCTACTGGGAACCCTCCTGGGAGCCGCAGGCCATGGAGGAGTCCCAGATCTGCCCCGACACGATCAGCTGCAGCGCCTTTCTCAAGGCCTGCGCCCGATCCCAGACCTGGCCAAGGGCCCTCGAGGCCGCTCGGAGGGGCGGGGCGGCCTTTGGGAGTGGTCCTCTACGGGTTTCAGAGGGCGCAGGGCGCAGGGCAAACTTGCATCATAGCCTTTACAGCAAGTAAGAAGGTCAGGGAGGATCGGATCTCTGGGTTTGGGAGCATAGGGTGTTTGACATTTAGCTAGTATTCCGTGCAATTGGCACTTCAGCCTGAATCCTAAATTCCTCTTCCTAGACTGTTCGAGCTACGATTGGTACATCCTGCATTTTACATGCAACCTTTGTGGTTCGGTTGCGTGGACCGCAGGGTGAGGATGGCTTCAGGTCCTGGCCTCCATGTGGGATCGACGCATCCCAGCAAACGTCATCAGCTACAGCGCGGCCATCAGTGCGTGCGAGGCCTGTTGGCAATCAGCCAGCGGTTCTTGATGTGAGAGGTGGTGAGGGGCTGAAAAGGCTTAGCTGCTAGCCCAGCAGTTTTTTGTCCGCTCTGTTGGACTGTTGGCCCTTACCTTCTAAGCAACAAGAACTCGAAAAGACCAAGCAACACCTCGCAAGACGTTTTAAAGGCAATCAGTTTCCTGGTAGATCCGGCGGATGACGCAACCCTCGAGCCCTCAAAGAGCTGAGCCCTGCAAGTCCAGAAGGGTTTGTGTTCCGCGGTGATCCGAGGACAAGGGGTCTGCATGGCCCCATGCTCTCGAGCTTTTCCAGTCCATGGCCAATGTCACTGTAGCGCTTTCGCAGCACCCGGCGTCTTGAGGCTAAACAGGGCCTCCCGAGGCCTTCAGGTTTCCGACAAGCAGACTCACAAAGTACAACGGCTCGTGGGTCTTAACAATCCGTCCAACCACCCGAAACAGCGTTCTTCGCCCAGGCTCCCAACGTGATCAGCTGTAATGCCACGCTCACCGCCCTCGAGAAAGCTGCCGATCATGTGCTGCAATAATGGTTCAGGGTTTCGGGTTACCGGATTGCTGCGCAGTCCCTGCGCCCCCCGAAGGGGAGTTTGCACTGAACATGCGGCACCAGGAGTTGGGCAGGTTGCAGAGCAGGGGCATACCCCGAAATCTCCGGAGGATCGACGTTGCAGATTTGTGAGGTTTGCAGGGAGTTACAGGTGGTGCTCTCGTGGAGATGGGGTCGTGCTGGATTTGCATTGAGCTGGCACTAAGACCCAAGCATCGCCAAGAAGTGCCCACACATCTCAGGGACCAGAAGCCGAAACTCTACATCCGTAGTTACAATGGCACTGCGACGGAGGAGTGGGAACGGGCTTTGGATATCTTCCAGTCCATGACGACGTTGCAGCTCCAGGCTCAGCAAGTGCACGAGATGGTCTTGGCTCAACTGTCGGCTTCAAGGGGTATTGAGTTTGCAACTGGGATTCTGGTCCCTTCGAAAACAACATTGGGTTGTCGGCGTATGGACAATTAAGCCACTTGCCCATAGACGGAAGATTCTGTAGCACAATCGGTGCCGTCAAGAGAAGCCAAATCGGCCGTAAGCATCTCTACATCCTAAATCTGAACATCCAGACCCTTTACACACGTCCGAAATCGTAAACTCGATACTCCAACCCGATCATTCGGTTTGACAGACCAAGGCTTTTTTCAATCATTGGCACATAGAACACAGCCATAGACAAATGCATCACCACTATACTCCAACCTACCTGGGTGCCACAGCTCAGATTATCCTTTACTTTAGGTTCAGGCTTCGGCGGGCCCTCACTGGCTGGCTACGGGGCTGGATCCACTGTATAAGGGGTCTGAGATGAATTAGCAATACCCTGTACTGCTCTGAGAGCCCTTCTATACAAAACTATGCTAAACCTCCCGTTAACCGCATTGTAATTATCACGGTCCGATCACTCGGAATTCGGGCTTGTAGGGTCGGAGCGTCGGGGGCATTCCTTTTACTGCATTCTGGCACTTGAAGAAGAACCCTACATGTTCGTATTGCTTTATGGGTTCTGCTGGGTCGGAGTCGGGTCGGAGGGCTCTTCGAATGCCATCCGGTTGCTAGGCCAGCGTGTTCATTCAGACGCAGGAGCGAACCAATACACACTAAGGTGCGAGGTCTCCAGTCTTGGCCCGCCTCCTGTAAGCCTCGACCCCCAGGAACTCTAGGCCTGCACCTGGCCCCTACAGCTGCCTCGGAAATGTAGGAAAGTTGCCATGGAGAGCTCGATACACATCGGCGCCTGTGGCTTCTGGATGCAAGGCCTTGAGACCGACTAATTCGGATGGTTCGGATTTGTTGGGCCGGCCTCCCCATCATTGTCCTATGTAGCTGCATCGTTATTTATGGTCTTCAGCAGGCCACACCTGCCTTAACTCGCGAAGCATGGCGGCCTGCATCTACCGCCACGCCGAGCTCCACAAGATCTACAGAAGCCTCCACGACTGAGATGCCGACCTCCACGACATGGTCTGACATGCTCCCGACGGAGGGTTTGATATCGCTGCGTGGGAAGAACTTGATTCTTGCAGGAGATTCCAACGACAGAAACTTTTTCCACGTGCTGTGTCATTATGCTACAGGCAAGTCCGACCAAGTGCAGTACATTAGGAAGCTGGAGATCGCATCCGGTGAGTATTCCGGGCTAATTACTTGGCCCACGGAAGCCGCTACCATGACATGCCATGACCGCAGCAGGAATGCAAGCTTGATGTTCCTCTTTCACCAGGGAGTATACAGCCTTCCTCCCCAGCCAGACTGGTTCCTAGAGTTCGTGCAGCGCAGGCTGGGCACGCACGGGATTGGAGCGCGAGGGAAGGCGCGTGTGGTTCCGACAACTGACTTGGCCCGTAATGTATGGCCAGAAGCCATCCAGCAGAATCTCTGATCCGGCCCATGATTCTTCTGCTCCAGTCTTCCATGCTACTTGCCCGCAGAAGTGGTGATGTCTGACCTGCATCTACTCTGACAGGACACTGCCTTAGTCTTTGAGTATGTCGGGTCGAATCGCGACATCAGAGTAGCTCGAATCATGCAGAGGATCAGACAGTAAGCAGTCCGTGACAAGCATTCCAGGTGGGACTCCTTCCCCGTTCTCGAGAAGATCATCGGCACTCGGGTATCCCAAATGACAGACGCGGGAGAAGCAAAGCTCCTGGATTGGAACAGATAGAGGTTTGGAACATCGGGTGCTACGTGTACACGTGTGCGTGTGTGTGTGTATATTCTTCTTCTTCTGAGAGGCTCAAGGTCGAAGCGACGTGCCTAATGCAAAGTAAATTCGAGAGTGAAACATGGTGGAGAAGAAGCCTGATGTCCAACCTGAGTTAGGCTAGACTGCACAGCCCACGCGGTGATAGGCTCAAAGTGCTCAGGCTTCAAGGCAAGGCGAAGACACGCTGGCCGGCCAAGCGTAGCTGTACGATAGAGACAGCAAAAGACCTTTAAAAGCATGTTCGCCCAAGCACAGTGCTCCCTAAGTCTACGGAGAGGCCCGGGAAACGGTTGCCGTATCGGCTGGGATCCATGTGGAGGAGGCGGGAAATCCACAAAGGCGCCGTAACAACGTACACCTTGAGAATACTGAGATGCAAGGAAGTCCATGCCGGACATTGCAAGTCTCAAATCCCCATGAGGAAGTCCAATCATCCTTCGGAACACCAAAAGCCAAGACAGAGGGCGCCGGCGCCGGGCATCGGAGGCAAGTCGGGAGGAGGAGAGGGAGGAAAGCGTCCTCGTCATCCTTATCTTCCGGGCTGCGACCCGCAAGACCACTGCACAGGTGCTCGGGAGAAAGGACAAGCAATACATCAGAGGCCGAGTCACGGAGAGCGCCCGAGGGCAAGCCATCTCTCCAAATGCTGAGAGTACGATGCAGAACCGGAAGGGGGGCAACATGTCTCGAGACCTCGTCAAAGATCTGCTGGTCGGACGCATCCTGCAGCGCGGCGAGTCCATTGCGAAGTGCCGCACAGGTTTCCGGCTGGGCCGCGGGAAGGTGTGCCTGTCCCCAACCGCGTAAGACAGGCGCCTGGACATGACCTTCGCGCAGGTTTAGGGCCGGGTCCGGATCCCCAGCCTGCTCAAGGAATTGCAAACAACGAGCAGAGGAAAGAAGATGGCACCTCAATCGCGCTTGATTGGCGTATTGAGAGCCACAAGCGCGGCAAACCCGACCCTTGGCATACTGAGTCGCCATGTTGCGGTAGCCGTGGAGCTTCTGGGCGTGGGCTCCCCATTGTTGGCGTGAGGCAAAGGCAAGCCCACAGATCAGACATCCATGCTCTAGCCCGGCCAAGGGGGCCGAGGAAGGCGGTCGGTGTGATGGCAATGCGTGCCACATCGTCGAAGACCGCCCGAAGCCGGGCGACCTCGCAATGCCAAGCCTCCGCACGCTGGAGCACCCCTTTCCACTTGCCTGGTGACTGAGACATGAGGCAAGACCAATTCTGCCAGTCCTGCTCGATAGGGCCCAGGCAGACAGTACCGACTGCAGAGAGGAGCCACTCGCCGGCGTCACGGAGAGCGGCCTGGTATAGCTCGAACTGCCCCACGAGAGCCCATAGCTCATCCGGGCCGTGCCTAACCAACTGGCTCAGGAACCGCAGTCGTTCCACGTGCAATAGGCACTGAGGCGAAGGGAGGCCGGACATTGCGAGCAGCTGATCGGCCGTATAATTCCATTTGCCGTCAGCACGGAGCCCAAGCAATTGCCTGTACAGGGAAAAGACACCGCGGCTAAAAAGTCGCCAGTCACATATCCCAAGGCGAGGCCAACTTCCGACCCCCGCGAGCAAGGTCGACAGCACATGACTTCGGAAGAGAACGGCTCGTTTGGGAAGCGGGATGTCTTTATATGCAAACAATCTCCGTTTGCCGTCGCGGAAAGCGACGCGCGCGAGAGCGAGACGATGTTTCACGTCCGCTGTCAGGGCGCCGTCGTGCGCAATGACGGCTCCCAAGTGACGGTACCGTGCGACAAGATCCAACCACTGCATTCCTCGACATTCCGCCCAGATAGGGGCCTTCCCATGCAAGGCACCGAACATTTCCTGGCGAGCTTGACGCGAACCTGGCCCGACAGGCGCAACAATGGCAGCAGTCTTCGTGGGCCCGAAGTTCACGCGCAGCGCGTGTGGCGCCAGGGTATCAAACGTATCTGCGGCCACGGCGGAAACAGTGTTTCTGAGTTGTGGAGCGGAATCACAAACAACAGGAATGCATAAATCATCGGCGTACACGACATCAGGGATGTCCTGACGCGGCGTCGCAGCCGTGCATACCGAGGCAAATGGCGTGCGCACGCCATCCCACGGGATGTGCGGGATGGCATCTCTGAGGGATCCGGACTTGCGTCGACGCAAAGCGTGGCCGAACAGGATACTAAAAAGAATGTCCGCAAGCGTACCCCCCGGCCGAGTGCCGCGATGGGTTGCCACCATATTGGAGTCCCCAGAGAGCATGAACCAACTGTGCTGGTGAAATTCTCTGGCTATCTCCTGCATGAAATCGGAGGCACCTTGCTGTGGTAAGACAGCCTCGTATTCGATGAGCCGGGCAAGCTCCTGTAGGTCGTCAGATCCAAGGTTCAAGGCAGCTGCAATCTCCTCAACCGGGCGCTCAGACAGACCTTTGCCAAAAAGGGTCTCCCGGATCACCGCGTAATAAGCCGCGGACAGATCTATGAACACCAAGCCTGCTGACAAGCCCTGAGCACGTGCATACGCCAGGATGGCGCGAGAGCACAGACTACCGAAGGATGCACTGCAGCCAGCTCGTCCTCCGATCTGCAGCGGAAGTGCAACCCGGGACCAATGTCGAACCAACAATCCTCGCAGTGATCGATGGAAAGCCTTGGAAAAAGCTGATTGGACTAATATACCTCTGTGGGCGTCACAAGTGTGTGGTGCCTTGGGCTGAGGTTTGCCAATGTGGTGCAAAACCCCCCCCTTCATGCCAGCCGCGTGTGTGTATATATATATATATAGATATGTAAATCTTCTAAACCTAATACCTACTACGTACTTGCATGCATACATACATGCGTACATAGTGTGTGTGTATGTTTGTGTGTGTATTTATCTAAACACAAATATGCAAATACATAAACATGTGTGTATATATATATACGTGTGTGTGTACACGCATAGGCGCACTTACACACAGACACAGACACAGACCCAGACACAGCCACAGACCCAGACCCAGACACAGACACAACACACACACACACAGACACACAGACACACACACACACACACCCGCACACACACACACACACACGCACACAGACAGAGACAGACAGACACACACACACACACACACACGCGCGCGCGCGTGCACGCGCGCGCGCGCACGCACGCACCCACACA